TCAGATGTAAGTAAATATTCTAAAGACAGTGTTACCCTAACTATAGGTGTTTCACGACCATTATTATCAGATGTAAGTAAATATTCTAAAGACAGTGTTACCCTAACTATAGGTGTTTCACGACCATTATTATCAGATGTAAGTAAATATTCTAAAGACAGTGTTACCCTTTTAACTCCTTTGTTCGCAAGGGGTTTAATTTTTATTCATAATTATGTGTGTGTGTGTGTGTGTGTGTAATCTAACTCAATAGAATTTTGGTTTAAACGAAGTATTTAATTTCTTCTCGATATCAATAACTACTTCTGGACTCATATCTTATTGAAAGTATACAGTCGATCAGGTATTCCCATTAACAGTGAATTACTCACAATGATGGTCATGAAATCGTTTTGTAAAAGTCCCATAGGAATGGATCTCTCGTATGTAGCGGTCTCGAGAAAGCTCGCGGGGTACTCTCATTGATCAGTTTTACGAGGTGGCTCTTAATATATTCCCTATTGATTGTTTTATCGCTTCATGCTGGTATTTGAAGAGTAACGAATCTACAGTTCGATTCATTTAAATCTGAAAGTTCCAAATAATTAAATAACTAAAAAAAATACAACCACAAAGTTTTAACATCGTGTACCCCAACTCAAACAGTTTTTATTGTAATGTTTTTTGTTATATTTTTTCACTCCAGTGAGTAGTGCTATCTTGTAAAATGGCAACCCTGCAAGAAAATGCTCAATGCGTCGTTTGGCTTGCAGAGACAAAGTAATTAATTGTGATGCAGCGCAATTACAGACGTCAAGAAGTATGGGGGTATGTTAAGGATATCGTGTATCGCACACCTTATAGCAAACACAACAGATGGACTGAAATTTAATATTATTTAGACGTGCTGAGAGCCATTAATGGTGCACACGTAGAAATCTAATGACATGTCAATAAAAACTGTTTGAGTTGAACTACAAAATGTCGAAACCTGCAAGGTTGTATTTCATTAGTTAATTATTAAATTTTACATTAAGAACTATAATTTTGGGCCATCCTGTATGTTCAAATATAAATTTTGTGTATATATATTTATTTGTATAAATGTCCTTTCACAAAAATCCAAAGTGTCCTCACCACCGGTCCGCCGACTAGCTAATCGTAATGGTTTTCCGTTGTTTAGTGAACTGTTGAGGAAGGTATTCTATGGTGTGTCACACAAACCATTAAAACATGGTCTCAAACCCCAGATTTTATTGTTTTCTTTGGTATGGACTGACCTGAAAATTGAGTATCTTCAAATGTTTGTTTTAGAGCAAAGCCACATTGGGTTATCTGCTGTACCCACCGTGGGAATCGAACCCCGGATTTTAGTGTTGTATGTCTGTAAATTTACAACTTCGAACGAGAAAAGAATTGCAACCAGTAATGTAACAGTTCAACAAGCTTATCGGGAATTACAGACAGTGTGAACCTACTATAGCTTAAGCTCAAGTCTTCACGACTATCTACGAGTTCGATATCTATCCATGCATATCTTACTACATTAAATTGTTAAATACAAATATTTTCTTAAATAAAAATACTATTTTCAATATATCAAATACAAAGATCTTTAAAAAAAAATACTCTTCAGAATTTGCTTAATTTCTAAACACTCTTTGGTTTATGTGTTTTACTAAAAGTCATTCATATTTTTTAGAAACTTTGTTTGGCAAGAACTGACAGGCGTGCTCAATTGGAACACAATACTGAGTCACGTGTGACTTGATAAGTTGCTGATATCTTAAAAGCTTACAATGGATGAATCAACAAAAGATTTATGGTGTTATTGGAACAAACAAGCAGTGTCATGATGTCGTATCAGGTTATTTCAATATTTTTCTCGTGTAACTTTGCGACTTAAATTTTTAAAGTAACTTTTACTTAAACAACTCTGCAATTGCAACTTTTTTTTACTATACAGAAAGTAAACTATCATCAAAACGATTATCGAAAGATTTAAAAAGGGGGTTGTTGGTTCCAGAATTTCGCACAAAGCTACACAAAAACTATAAATATATATATGCTAACAGTTCCTAATTTTGAACTAAAGGAAAGGCAGCTAGTCAACTGTATCCACCGCCAACATTTGGATTGCTCTTACATTATCGCAAGAGCACAGAACGTGTTTTTTTTTTGTTGTTTTTTTGTAGCAAGAGTCGTGAACCATAAATCCTTGGATTGAGCCATTTAAAGTTCGATATTTCCATGTAAATTAATTCTTTGGTGACAACGATGAATAAGTAATTATTAATTTCAAAAACATAACATTTATCAGTCGTAGTGCACTAAACTGGATAAAATGTTATTTTATTTCTCATCTAAATTGTTTATTATTTCTCTGATGGTGCTGTGCTTCTCTGAGCAGTTGAGTTATGTGATTGGTTGATGATGTAGCATCCAACAAGTTGTTGAGTTATGTGATTGGTTGATGATGTAGCATCCAACAAGTTGTTGAGTTATGTGATTGGTTGATGATGTAGCATCCAACAAGCAGTTGAGTTATGTGCTTGGTTGATGATGTAGCATCCAACAAGTTGTTGAGTTATGTGATTGGTTGATGATATAGCATCCAACAAGTTGTTGAGTTATGTGATTGGTTGATGATGTAGCATCCAACAAGTTGTTGAGTTATGTGATTGGTTGATATAGCATCCAACAAACAGTTGAGTTACTTCAGTGGTTGATGTAGCATCCAACAAGTTGTTGAGTTACTTGAATGGTTGATGTAGCATCCAACAAACAGTTGAGTTACTTCAGTGGTTGTGTAGCATCCAACAAGTTGTTGAGTTATTTGTATGGTTGATGTAGCATCCAACAAACAGTTGAGTTACTTGAATGGTTGGTGTAGCATCCAACAAGTAGTTGAGTTACTTGAATGGTCCGCCGAATTACCGCTGAGCAACTGGGGGTGAGGCAGTATTAGCAGAAAACTCTGTAAAAATGTTACTTCAAGTAATCGTTAGAGCTTATTACTTACATTGGAAATACAATTTATTTTTACAAAATGTGCAAGGTGTTAAAATGCCGCTTTTTATACTACAGATAGAAGAATTGACATTTAAACCCAAATAATGCACGAGAATTTGTTTATCTCGACACAGTTTGACATTTTCAACTGATGATCCAGTATTTCTTCTCTCGAACTCTTTACTAACCGGCGAGATGAGAGAAGAAGAAAATCGAAAAGTTACATCCTACGTTCAGACACGTGGGAGTAGTCTTACATACAAAGTACATATAATTTGATACGGCAGAAATCTTGGCATCGTGCCAAATAGCAGTTACACATATATATACTATATGTTACCATTGTTATATTGTGTTCGTTTTTTAAGTCATTCATCTTTAAGCGACGTGCCCCCTAGTGGCACAGCGGCAGGTCTACGGACTTATAGCGCTAGAAACCGAGTTTCGATACACGTGGTGGGCACAGCACAGATAGCCCATAGCGCTTAACTACAAACGAACAAACTGAGCGACGCACATGTCCCTTTCTTTTGATCAGACGTTTCGTTTGTGGTCATATTTTACAACTTTTGTTAAATTAC